CCCCCTTTAAAAAATTGGAAAAATTCCATCAAAACGGTTGAAAACTGAAAAAAATAAGTAAAAAATTCGAATTTCAATCCCGAAAAAACCGGAAACACCAATTCAAAATGAATTCGTCTCGGAAATTTTTTCGAGAAATTTCTCGACGTCATGTCGAAAGGACACACTGCTCCTACGTCATTTGCAGCCTTCAAAATCGCCAAATCGACTTTCTTCTGAAATTTCTTGAGCAATTCTGTGTTGAATTCCACGAATTCCAATTTTCCATTTGATTTTTTGACTAGTTGCTTCAGAAAATGACCCAAATCCATATAGAAATACGCACAGGACATAATTTCAATTTTCGGATGATTCAGAGTGAGATTCTGAAGAACACCAAAACAATCCGCCTTGTTAATGTACACTGTTTTGTTATCAGTCCCTAGATAAGTTGTCACATTCTGAAATTATCGATTTTTTTTTCAAAAAATTCAAAAAATCTGTATTACATTGAATGGTAGAGTATAATCATTGAAAAATCGATAACTTTCTGGATAGCTCTTAAAATGTCGAATTGCGAAAAACAGTGCCCGTGCCGACTCATACATTCTGCATGTTTTATCTTCAGTTTCCAGAATTTTCGAAACATATTTCATTCCATAATTTTCCCTTTGCTGCTCAGCACTCTGCAAACGACATGGCACTTTTTCAGGAGCCGGAGGACCTGTTACCTGGAAAATATTGATTTTTTAAATTTTTTTTGTTCAAAATAAATAACTAATTTTCCTCACTTTAAAAATGACATATTCCAAAACCTCATCCAATGTGATGTCGGCATCTAAAACTGCTGCTGGCGGGTAAGAGAAATGCATTTGTTTTCCTCTTTCGACGGCGATCCCATGAAGAATCTCCAATTGATTCGCCATTTTGGCTGAAAATCGACTTTTTTGTGTTAAAATTCCAAAAAATTAGGTGAAAAACAAGTAAAGACGCTAAAATTTCTAAATTTGAGCTCGAAAATCCGGAAAATCCGGAAGAAAAATTGAATTTCGCGCATTTTGGGTTACTGTAGAAGTTTAAAGGCGCATAGCCGGACTTTGTAAAGAGAGCTTTGCAACGAAAATTTTTAATCAGAGTTCAAAGATTTTTAGCCCAATTTTTGGGCGTTTAGTGTGCTTTGTAGATGCTTCATATGCCAAAAACAAGTTAAGATTTCAATATTGCCAAGAATTAAGCACAAAAACCGGCAAATTTTAAAAAATTACCGCTTTATGGGTTACTGTAAAAGTTTAAAGGCGCATAACAGGATTTTGTGAGTGTGTCATCGCCACGAAAAGTTTATAATTGTCGTTTTAATGATTTCAGCTTAATTCTAGTTATGTTGTGTGTTCGAAAAATGGTTCATGTGCTGAAAAACGAGTAAAAACGTTGAATTTCCTAAAAATTCCGGCATAAATCCGAAAAATTGAATTTCGCGCGTTAGGGGTTACTGTAAAAGTTTTAAGGCGCATGACATGCTTTTGTAAGTTTGTCTTCGACACGAAAGGTTTAAAATTGTCGTTTTTAATGGTTTTAGCTTAATTTTAGGTATTTTGTGTGTTTAATAAATGTTTTATGTACTGAAAGACACGAAAAAATTCAAAATGTTCAAAAATTCTTGCCAAAAATCCGAAAATGTTTCAATTTTGGCTAGCTTTGTGGGTTACTGTAGAAATTCAAAAGAGCGTTTCAAGCTTCTGTGTTCTCAGTACCACAGCGATAACATTTTTTCCTCTTTTCAGCTCAAAATTATGGGTCAAAAACTCAAAAAAATGTGTGTAAAAAATGTGGAAAATCGGTGTTCTAGACTCCTTTTCAGTCACCATAGCAACTGATGAAGTCGCACGCCTCCTGCTATTTTCTCATGAGGAAACATTGGATTTTTGATTTCTTCTCAACGGATTAAAAAAAACGAAATTCATTAAAAACGCATAAAATTAACAAAAAGAGGATCACAACAACAAAATATTACAATGGAAAAAAAAAGAAAAATAGAACTTTAGGAGAGAATTTAAGAAGATCCTGCGGCAGCAACTTTTTCTTCCTCCTCGATTTGGGGCTTTTCTGGAGCAGCAGCAAGCTCAGGAGCAGCGGCTTCTGGAGCACAGGCAACTTCTGGAGCACCTTCTGGAGCCCCCTCTGAAGCTTCTGGAGCTTCTGAAGACGTCGCTTCTTGCTCCTTCAGCGCTTTGTTGGCACACGCCGCTGCCATTGTCACAAAAGTCTTCTTCTCGGGCTCCTCGGCTTCTGGATTCGATGAGAAATCGTGATGAACAAGATCAGCAAGCCATTTGAGCATTCCCTGGGACAGCAATTCCGTCTCCAGCATGTCTTTTGTGATTAATTCGAATTTCGTTCTCTCCACTTCTTTCTCAATGATCTCTCCCCAATCAGTCAACGGTTCATGGTCCTTTGAGTGCTTTTTGTCGTAACTGTCATAGTGGGTTCTCTCCAGGAGAAGGCCTAGTCCAGGTGCCATTGGGATGTCCATCTGGAAATTTGAAACTTTTCGGGTTTTCAGAGTTTTTGGAATTTTTGTGAAATTTCCTTTTTTTTCAGATTTTACTGGAATTTCGGATTTTTCTGAATTTTTGAATTTTTTTTGAAATTTCTCGAATTTTCGTTGTTTCAGATTTTTCGAAAATTTTCAATAATTTCAGACTTTTTTAGAATTTCGAAAGTTTAGATTTTTTCAGATTTTGCTGAAATTCAG